AAATGCATCAGTGTGTGTGTGTGTGTGTGTGTGTGTGTTCATGTGTGAGTGTAGGTATATGCACACCATGAAGCATGTAGAAAGGTCAGAGGAAAACTGAGAATCGGACTTACCTTCTACACTGTCTAAGATAATTTTTTGTTACTTATGGGTTCCTTGGGTTCAGTGACTAGTAAGCTTCTGGAAAATCTGTCTCTGCCTGGCATCTCAGAACAGAAGTTAAAAGACAACATACACATGTACTGAGTTGGGTTTACATGAATTCTAGAGATTGAAACTTGGGTCTTCATGGTTGTATGGCAAATGCTTTACCTCTGAGCAATCACCCAGCTTAGTTTCATTTTTTAAATCACTTTTGAACTTTCTTACATTGCAAAAGGACAACATCATCTATTGTATTTTTTGCTATAGTCTGTCTATTGTAGAATTGACCATTGCTTCAAGAATCTCAAGTTCCTCCTTGCAAAGGGAATGAGATGCACCAAGAGATCTGCACTAATTACATTGTGCTCATTGCCACTGAAGTGTTGATGCTTCTAAAGATCCATTGACTGAGCAGAAAGATAACCACACAGACTGTTCTAGAGTATCTTTACATTTGAGCTTCAACAGAACATTTAATAATATCTAGCATAGCAATTCCTAGAGGATATAGTATATTACTGAACTTCAACTTATGACTAGAAAGCAGAACTTTTTTTATATAAGTAGAACTCTAGATTCTTGTTTGGAACCAAACAAAGAAACCAAGTTTTTCCCAGGTATTTCTCCCTAAATCCCAAACTTATTAAATAAGTAAAGAGACACTGCAGGGTGCAGATTGCTCAGGACCTTGAGACTTTCAGAGTGATATGGCATTAAATTGTTCATATTTTCTTATTGCTTTCTCTATATCTCAGAAAGGGTTATACAGGTTTTTCTGATCTGTTGATCACAAACAAAAGAAAAGCTTAAGAGAAATGTCTTCCTCATAGCCAAAGTATTTAAGCAGGGGTTGTTAACACCTATAACTGTTTGGCAATGTTGCCATTCTAAGAAAATACTAAGGCAAAACTGTCCCCCATTTTCCATGCTTCCACTTCAGTGACATCAACTAAGTAGATGATTTTGTACTCCAGGCCACCTCTCTCCTACCTAAACAGCCAACACAGGCCAACTCCCTTTCAGAGTTATTTCAGTACGGTCCACTGCCTAGCAAACCTTCTGCCCTCCCAGCATTCAGAAGAATGGAAAGACATCAAAGAAGTAGAGCCAGATGTGGCCATTTAACTCTGGACACAGCACACATAGTCATACAGTCGAACAAGAAGCTTAGCATTGTTTCGGCTTTGTGTCCAAGGCAAGATATTGTGTCCAAGTTAAAAATAGTAGGCCCTACATTATTGCCCCATCCATGTTGTGAGTTGGATCCTATGTGAAACTGAACCTCCAAACACAGGTAGAATCCAAATGTAACAAACTGTTGTGAAAAAACATAGCTAATACTAGCTAATACTTCATGTCTCCCTTCTCCATCAGGAATCCTATTAAGGACTTTAACTTTTACTTCCACATGAATACAAAACAAGTTTGCAGGTGGCTCCACCACATTTAAAGAGATGGCATCAAGGCCATAGGGAAAGCTGAACTTCTCTTCCATGTAGACAGTTAATGTGATTAATTACTCAACTTTCTTTGGGTTGATGTCAATGGAACCCATTGAAAACCTCTATATTCTTTCCCATTCAGCCATCACATGATTACTCAATGTAGAGTAATGTCTGGATAAAAAACCCAAAAAACAAAACCAAACCAAAACAAAAAAGGAGGGAAGAAGATAAAGCAGAATGCAGGATCGCGCAGTACTCAGAATTTGTTCAAAATGCAATTGAAAATCACTCGTCATACCTCCAACCAGGAAATCTTGAAAATCTGAACGTACAATCATTGCCAAGTAAACTGAGGTTGGACTTATAATAAGTAGGCTAAATAAATTATCTGATAGACATTTAAATACGCATTTCTTGAAATACATGAAAAAAAGAAAATGTAAGCAAAAATTAAAGCTATTAAGAATAAAGCCCAGTGGAAAGGACAGACATAAATTACACATTATCAATATGTCATGCTTGAGGAAAAAAATAGAATTGATCACAACTGAAGCCAATGAGAAAAAGAGACCAGGGTCTCATCATCTCAGAGGCCATTGGGACAGTATGAAAGTGCTGTTATTTGTATCATCAAATCCTTAGTTTGAAAAGGGAGCAAGTGAGATGCAGAAAACTTGAAGAAATAGTGAACAAAGTGTGCAGATTGCCAGAAGAAATAAACCTAGATACTCAGGAAACCGAGAAAACCCCCAAATAGCCCAAGTACAATAATTGCTATCCGAACAGACAGAACTGTTAAAATTTCTAGGTAGAAAGGACAATGGTAAAACATAGAAAACAGACAGAAATCACACATTTTATCAATTCAAATAACAACAGATCTCAAATCTGAAACTCTATAGGCCAGAAGTGTTTACATAATGAATTTGAAGCATTGAAATGAAAAAAGAAAATGGTAGGGATACAGCTTCCTAGAGAGAACACCTGACATGAAGCACATAAAACCAGATGTAGTGGCTCATGCCTATAATCTCAGCACTTGGGAGGTAGAAGCAAATACAGTCATCCCTGGATACCTAAAATATTTGTAACCAGCTTGGGCTACATGAGGCCCTGCCCCACAAGCAAATGAAGAAAGAAAGGGAAAAAAGGGAAGGAAAGGAGGGTTGGAGGAAGGAAAAAGAAGCAAGGAAGAAAGAGGAGGAAGGGAGGGGTGAAAGATGAATGAAGAGAACTTTCAATTATAACTTTATTTCTAATTTGACCTTGTTTGACTTTTAGTTATGTGCTATTAGGTTCTTTTCCTATGTACAAGATTGCAACCACATTTTGAAAAAAATTCCACCATAAAATTAATTTTCAAAGTAACAGTAACCTTTCTAAATTGCACACAGATCTTTAATGCACAGTGGTCACATAAACAAATCAACTTTTATCTAGTGTAACTTCATAGTTCTAGTGAAAAATTAATCTATGGATGACTACAATCTTGAGAATTCAATCTGAACATCCTTGCCACGTAGACATAAGTCTGTCTTTGAATCGTGCTCTTTCTTTATTCCCTTCCGGACACTCATTATACCTCTTGTATATAGCATTCCTTTCTGCCCTGGACCTGGTATCTTTATTTCTCCTGCCATCATACATTTCTCTTTCCTTGGCCTCAGAAACTCATTCTTCCTTCTTGATTTGCACACTATCCAAGACTGCCTTGTACAAGAAGATCTGTTAACTTTCCTTATATTCTATAGATTTATAGCAAATTCATGAATTAAAATTTGAGCTGCTCAATGCACTTCACGATATTTGTGCCATAATTATGGATTTATATTGGGTCTTCAATAGATGAAATTAAAATACTGACTATAAAAGCACCCTGAAGCTAAATATCTGGCAGACATAGTAGGGAGAGGGTTAGCAAATGCAAACTGAATATGAATGGTCAAATTAAAATTGTATTTCAATTTCCTCACAATGATTCTGTCACTAATAACTTTCCAAAACATTAGAGTATTGGGATTCTACACTTGATTCAAAAGAGGAAATTTTTACTGATATCAATATCTGAATACCTCAGAAGAAAAGCATTGATTTGGGATGTAAGGTCATCCACTCTGCACCAGAGTCCCGCACAAGGCATTTTGATGCTGTTGATGATGTCACTCCCACATCTCCTAGTATTTGCCCTTTCAATATATACCCATTGCATCATCATGCTACCCAGAATTGACTTTTGAGATAAGTCCAGAAAGCTTAGCAGTTAATGTTTCCTAATGGAGTTTTAAACCAATTACAAAGGCGTATTATGGGATATATGCTTATCAGCTTTCTCACCCATTTCTGGGGATAACACTGAGTCATATTCTACAGAGTCTCAGAATTCCTCTGAAAAACTAACAGGTATCTTCAGAAATAACTCATCCAGAACTCATTCAGAACCATGGCTCTCTTTGCTTTTTTCCAGGCCCTATCTCCAATTCCTACTCTGCTCTTTAAGTTGGTTGGCTAGCCTCCTCCATAGACAGTTTGCATTTGATGTCTCATCTCAGATTCAGCTCCTGGATGGACTCACACTGAGAAATCCTAAACTCTTTTAGACCTAGTGGTCCAGTGCCTCTTATAGGTCCATCAATGGTAGTATTGCAAAGGGATGGCATAAGATACTTCATTCTTTGTAAACCATACTGACTTCAAATTAAAACCAACATGAATTTACAAATAAACTATTGTCATGGGAGTGCCATGTAGGGAGAACAAAGTAGAATAATGTCACCTGCTTTCTATTCATGGAGGTTTGAAATTTCCGGGCAGATGGTGGCTAACAGGTGGGGCTCTAATTTAAGAAACCTGCTCCATTAGTCATCAGGAAATTGCTATTATTATTTTACAATGTTGACCTCAAGTCCTTAACGTTCCACTTGTTTCTACTCATCCTAATATCCACTGTCCTTGGTTACTAATAACTGATGGATTTATGTTGTCTCTACCATCATATTACAAAAATCTATACACCTGCACACACATACTTTTATATATGACAAACATTGAAAAAGTAATAAAGTTGTCTGTGAAATTCCCTTCAAATGGGTTCTTATGTTTATTTTGTAAGCAATTGAGTTTAGTGAAAATAATTTATGAAAATCTAAATGAAGACTGTTGAGAGAAAATCCAGTGGAAAATGGAAATAAAGAAAATAAAACTTAAAAATAATTAGAAAACTTGAATCTTTTGTCCTCATTTTGTTTGCTTGAAGTCTCAAACTGTAACCTGTGGTCTTATTATAGTGTATTTACTTGAAATTACAGCCTTTTTTATAAATTAGAAGATATGGGGGGCATTTAGTTAAAATGGTGAGACAGTGGAATTCATAGGTACAGATTATTAATATTTCATCTAACATCTTCCTTTCAGCTTCCTGAATATCAAGGCCTGATGCTCCCAAGAAGCAATTTCTGGTAGAAATCTGAAGATTATCTTTAAGGAAAAACAGTAAATGAATTAAGGACAAGAAGGTTTCCAATCAGGTAGGGATGGCAAAGGAAAAATCACAGATTCAATCATCCCAAGTGTACAGGTTTCTCAGTGGCTCTTTGAAAAAGATGAGTGTCTAAGAGGAGTTTGCTTTAAATTAATTCCCTTGGAGGTGGCAGTGTTTACCAGGTAGTTCCTTGGAGGGAAGCAAATACAATAACAGCGTGGTACTTTTTCTATTTTTAGCTCATTGTTACTATGTACACTTAGTAATCTCAGGACTTCAGTCTCAGGAGGCTGCAAGTGCAGACAAGTAGATTAGCCCTCTGAATCTTGTTTCTGAAGACAAATCTTCTTCATATGTTGTTTCCATGATGCTTCAGTTGTTTATCAAAATTAGGGACCCTGCGATCATCAAGTGAAGAATAGTTTCAATTGGCCGCATAAGGAAATTGCGTTGGTTCTTCCCAGGGCCCATCTACGCTTAGTTTTCTTGCGAAATGGAGTTGGAAGAGTGGAGAATGGGGCATGTCCAAGAAAGACTGTGGTTTCATGTAGTTACATTTGTCAGAATCTTATTTATAATTTTCTTTTTCACTTACAATTTGACATGGAAATTTAAGGAAGAGAGCCTTTATATTTTATGAGACAAATAAAACCCAGTGACTTCAAAATCAAGGACTAGTTTTCTTATGTGCAATTAAGTACTCAGCATTTAGTTTCATACATGACCTTTAGTCTGCGTTCCAAAGTCACATGATGAATGATAGATAGCTTAATGTGTGAACCAAACAAGTTAGTAAGGAAAAAAAGGTGTCCGTCCTGTTATTGCGTTATGTGTTGGTTTCTGGAGTCTTTGGACCCATCACTGTAACTGAAACATGGAATATGCAGATTAAAACTCACTGAATGAATGGATTAATCGTCATGATACTAAGTCAAATTGTACGAGAAGCCCAGACTCCATGTTTGCCAAGGTCTACTGTAGAATTAGCTGTGATATAAAAGCTATAATCTACATAACTGATGGACCTGACAGTTTATCTCAGTTTCAGATTAATTCTATAATAATGTCATATAACAATCCTGTTCATGTAAACAGAACACCTACATAGACATACTCCAGATGATTGAAATTTGAGCAGAATATTCCTGCAATAACCTCCTAAGCCATATTACTTTTAAGAAACTTACTTTTAAAAGCATTTATATCCCCTTAAGGATAATTTTAAAATAATTATCAGCTAAATTTTGCTTACATTCTTTTCGAGGGCTACAACAGCAATGATGTTTATGTAGGCTGTTTATATCTTATGTGGTCCCAGGAGAGAGTGGGGCGGGGGGAAAGCTGCTTAATCAATTAAAGAAATGTAAATTTTGTAGGTTGCAGCTACCAAAAAACTAAAACAAATGGTCTAAAATATCATACTGGAACTCATTCCAAAATGTATGGAAATATATTTCCGTGGAGTTTATTCCTTGACAGCTGGGTGGTAGTCAAATGTGCTTACTAATAGTATGTCTGATTTGCTAACTCGGGCATTAACTGTGCTGGCGTTGTGCTCTGTATGTATTTGTCAACAATCTCAAGTCTACCTCCCACACATTTTCACATTTTTCTTTTTAATATTCTCTTGGTAACAGAAGTTGTACTTATCTGATGTTCTTTAACTTCCTGGATAGCCAAAAGAATCGTGCCACTTTAAGTAAGGATAATACATATTTAAAAGTAGAATGTTTCATCATGAACTAAGATCCTCCTATAGAAGAATTTTATAATAGAAAGGCTGTGAACTTAGATTTTGTAAGTGGATGGGTTTGGTCTTTGGAGGAGAGATGTTTATCTCTAGGAATAAAGGCATAAAGGTAATACTTGCTGTCTAGAGATATTTTTGCAAGTCTTGTATAATACTTAATTTTGGAAATGTAATTCTTGAAATGTAAGAGCAATACAAACTTCTCCAAAGTGAATAACTAGGATGAAGATTTACCTCAAATGTACGACATTGCTTTAAGCTTCTTCCATCACCATGAAAATAATGCTGTTCTTGGTTTTGTATAAACATCCATGAATTATTTTTATTTTATGGGTGATCTTTTTAGATGTATAGAATTACCATTATATTTTAAATATCTTCTATACTTATTAAGTCAATATTATATTTCTAAGTTTCACACATTTTTGTTTTTCCACCACTATTATAGTATTTTCTTGTATAGAAATGAGCGCATGTATATCATCATGTTGATAATGTTGGCATTGTTGTGGCCTTATTTTTTTTCAAAGTTTATTAAATTATAAAAGTTTCCATTTCCGCCCCTCCTCCCAACACCCTCCCACTCCCCCCACTCCCTCTCCTCCTCCCTCTCCATCCCTAAGAGCAGTCAGGGTTTCCTGCCCTGTGGGTAGTTCAAGTTCCTCCCCCCTCCCTCCAGGTCCAGGAAGGTGAGTATCCAAACAGACTGGATCCCAAAAATCCAGTATATGCAGAGGAAACAAGTCCCAGTGTCATTGTCAATGGCTTTTCAGAAAGACTCCGGGCCAGCCGCATTCAGAGAATCTGGTTGGATCACGTGCTCATTTAGTCCCAGTCCAACTGGCCTTGGTGAACTCTCATTAGATCAGTCCCCTTGTATCAGTGAGTGATCGCACCACTCGTGGTCCTGATTTCCTTTTTCATGTTCTTCCTCCTTCTGCTCCTTATTTGAACCTTGTGGGGCTCAGTCCAGTGCTCCAATGTGGGTCTCCGTCTGTATCGCCATCCATCGTCGGATGAAGGTTCCCTCTCGTCTTGCCTTCTTTGCTCACATTCTCTTTCCTTCTGCTTCTCGTTTGGACCTAGGGAGTTAAGTCCAGTGTTCCAATGTGGGTTCTGTCTCTATCTCCATCCATTGCCAGATGAAGGTTCTATGGTGATAAGCAAAATATTCATCAGTATGGTTATGGGCCAAGGCGGTTCAGGCACCCTCTCCTCTGTCCAGCAAACAATCCGGAGATCTCTCCTTGGACCTGAGATCCCAGTTGTGGCATTATTTTAAAAATACTTAGTGAGGGCCGGGTGGTGGTGGCGCACGCCTTTAATCCCAGCACTCGGGAGGCAGAGGCAGACGGATCTCTGTGAGTTCGAGGCCAGCATGGTCTACAAGAGCTAGTTCCAGGACAGGCACCAAAAACTACTGAGAAACCCTGTCTCAAAAATCAAAAAAAAAAATCAAAAAAAAGAAAAAAAATACTTAGTGATTATTTATGTCAATATCCCCTTGTACACATGTGAGACGTGTGTGTGTGTGTGTGTGTGTGTGTGTGTGTGTGTGTGTGTGTGTGTTTATCCTCCTCTATAGCTTCATTCAGGGTTTCTCAAATTAGGTGATAGTTTCAATTTACTTGGCTAGTATTGCTTCAACCAACTTCACAAACCTTTTAACTTATATAAAAGTTTTCTTTTCATAGTATAGTTCTAGAAACAAAGCAATCTGAGAGCTTTTTCTGTGTCCTGTAGATGTCTGTGGCTTTGACTCTATGGGAATATCCTCCCTTGAAAGTTACTCAGGGTAGATTATGCCTTGCCATTACAACCTAATCTAACCTGAGGTACCTCTTCAAAGACAGAGCTCCCATATGACCATACTGGAGCAGCAGGAATATCTTCTACTAATAGTTAGATTTTTATTTTATTCATTTACTTTTTAATATTTTCAAATATAGATAAATTAAAAATCTATGATACAAATAGCTTTACTCAGGCCAATCTTTAGCAGGAAAAGAGTGTGTGGAGATAAACAGCCACTCTTAAGATTAATGAAGCCAAATTTATCTCTTCAGATTGTAACTTTTTACATTAAAATGCTCTTTTCTGGTATTATGGTATAAAGATGCCATTTTTTTGGTATAGTCTCCAACTTCTAGTGTATTTTTCCTTTCAAGACAGTAATCTATGCAATATGATGGCACAACCATTTCTGATGTGAATGACCCAAGTTATAAAGTCAGCACAGCCATTTGACAAAAATCCAGCAAAACTGAGGCCACATGATGGCCACCATACCCCCTTTGGTTTTCATCTCCATCAATTGCATACTTTGGAGACTTTTAATATTCATACAATTTGGAAATACTGGATTGATGGAAAATTTCTTATAAATCATTTATGCCTTCTCCCAGGAATGCTATTTCTAAGCTTCCCCAGTAATCCTGCGCATACTATTCCTCCTGCTCTAGAGAGATACTTATCTATTTGATTGTCTTCCTTATGCCTTGGAGGTTGTGACACACAATCTTTGAGACATTTTTGAAACATCTGACCTTTTACTTACTCAAGACCAAAATAATCAAAAAACAAAGTAAACTTTAAAAGGTCAACAAGGTTTGCTGGGCTTGAGGAGTCGGCCACAGTTCAGATTACAAGTCTCTTCCCACTCTATACCAAGGCACTCTGTGGCTCACACAGCAACGAAGCTCGATTAGCTAAAATGACCTCTGTGCTATACAAACACTTATCCTGATGGGCAAAGAATGGCGTGCGAAGATGATAAAAGTATTCTATGAAGGTATAAAATATAAACATTGTATTATGCCAGAATTTGAATAATAACTGCAACCACTTTGACCTGAGGTATTTCTTGGGCTCTCTGACCATTAAGAGTTAATAATCCACGGCTTGAGATATGGTGGTATGCCCGGCACAGCTTGCAGTTTATTTTGGTCAAATATTATTATAGCCACAAAAGCAACTAGCCTGAGAGAAGCTTGTCATATACCTCTTGATTCTTAAAAACTGAGTCATGGGGTTGATGAGTAAAAAACTCATCATGATGAGTTTTTTCATCATGATGATCATGAAAGATAACTTTGTATCAATGTCAAAACTTGAGGGAAAGTGATTGGAAATGATAACTCTGTTCTGTCATAGTTTATTAATGATGACTAAAAGATGAGCCAAAGGAAGTGAAATATATGTCCCAAAACAAAAAGATATAATCTACGTTTTGGAACAACATGAATGTATCCCTGCTTACTAAATTCTGTATAAATAAAGAAGCACTCTGGCTGCCA